CTCCGCAGAGACCCGGAGCCGAGAGGCCCCCAGGCGCAGCCCCCCACGGGCAGGCGGGTCTCCCAGAGCGCCCTGGCCAGGCCGCAGCCGCCCCATTCTCTGCTTCCTTGCGATTCAAACCAAAGGCTGTTTTTTTCTATATTTAAAGAAAAAAAAAGTAAAACCAAACACAACACCTCACAAGTTGTAACACTTGGTCCTTCTCTCTCCTTTTCTTTCTTTCCCGTGTTCTGTCCTCACTGGCTCTTCTGCCTCCGACTTTTCTCACTCCCTATCAGGGATAATCTGGGGATGACAAAGGGTTGGCCAAAAAGCAGACTCGGGATGGAGGCGCTCAAGGCCTCCAGGAGTCTACCTTGCCCTCTGTGGGGACGGTCCCTGAAGTTAGCTCTTCCTCCTCCATTGTGTGGTCTCCCCAGGAGAACCAGATTGTTAGGGAGGACACTGTGGGTTGGTTGTTCCTCACTGACAATGTAGCAATAAACAGAGCTGCCAGGGCAGAGAACGGGGGAGTTGGCTGGAGGAGGTGGTCTCTAGAGAGGGGCTGCTCGGGGCACCCCAACCCGGCTCCTCCTTCCAGGACCCCCGGCAGAGGTGAGGTTGGTATCTGGGCTTCTCCTGGGCTGTTCTGGTCACTGAGCCCCCCACGGGCCTCCCCACCACCTTTCCTGCACTGGCTAAGCTGTGTTTCGTGACGCCTCATGAGGACTGACGAGTCTCTTCTGGGGTGTCAGAGCCTAGGGCGCCCCCAGCTCCTCCCCTCGTCAGCTAGGCACCTGCACCCGCTAGAACATGAAGGACTGTGCTCCGAGGCTGTGAGCCCTTGAGAGCAGAGACTGGCCGGAAGACCAGGTGCTGAGGAGGGAGAGAAGCACGCTCTGTCTCTCCAGATCACCGCTGCACTTTAACCAGGGTCTTAGGTACAAAATCTACTTTCCAGAGCCTCTCACCTCTGGAACCTCAAACACCCTCATGCTCTCTCCCAACTCCTTTTTCATGAAAAAACAAAAACAAAAAAAACCCCACAACCAAGTAAAGAAAAAGAAAACAATGCACTGAAACCCAGTGGAGAAAAGAGGTGTTTTCCTTTTATATTGATATTCAAAATCAGCATCACAAAAAAGTTTTCTAAACAGACAGTTTTCCAGACCTTTGTTTTTTCCCTGTCCTGTCCAAGCTGCAGATGTGATTTTGTAATACTCTGGCAGCTGCTTTCCTGGTGTACATAATATATATATTATATATTTTTAATCAGAAGTCACGAAGAACAAAACACAAGGCAGAAGCAAGTGCAATAACACCTCTTCTCCCCCAGGGCTTCATCTGTAGCTGTGCTTGGTGTCTCCTTGACCCTCACCCCTTCACCTCCTGATTCCTCTGGTGCCCTGTCTCCCCCCCTTTTTTTTTTTTTAAAGAGTTTTCCTCCTTTCTCAAGGGGAGTTAAACTAGCTTTTGAGACTTATTGCAAAGCATTTTGTATATGTAATATATTGTAAGTAAATATTTGTGTAACGGAGATATACTACTGTAAGTTTTGTACTGTACTGGCTGAAGGTCTGTTATAAATAAACATGAGTAATTTAACACCCCTGGTTGTTTCTGCAGACTTCCTTTGCCTTGTTTTTCTGCTCAGAGAGGAGTGGGGGAGGAGGGGGGGGAGAGGGGGGCCTCCTTGCAGCAGACCATCTACTGAACGTTTTGAAGGTAAGCAAGTTCAGGATTGAAAAGAAACCAGAAACAAGAATGCTCAAGTGGTTGTTTCGGGAGAGTTTTCAACCTAGAATGGGAAGTGGAGGAGATTTTTCTATCAAGAGTGCCTTCAGGGGCCTCCCTGGTGGTGAAGTCTCAGCACTATGAAGCTCAGGCAGCCGCTGCTGCACTAGTTCGATCCCCGGCCAGGGAGTGACCCCCCAGGGTGCCGCAGACCTCTCCTGTCACCCCACTGCTCCCTTCAGCAGTGGAGTTCAGTAGGTCCACCTTTCTGCTCCCCACTCTGCCTCTGATGAGTCCTCTCACCCACCTGCATCTCTGGCTTGTACCCCAGTTCTTGTTTGCATAAAAAAAGAACAAAATCAAAGCCAAAGGAGAACACAAATACAGCTGTTTTGAGGTTTAAAACAAATATAACCAGGGCCCTCCCTGGTGGCGCAGCGGGTTAAAGCACTGCACTGAGAAGCTAAAGCCACTTCCGCATGAGTTCGATCCCCGCCTGCC